GTGCTTGAAATTGAATAGCAAAGGTAGCAAGAAAGATTGTTGCGAATGGTTTGGTGATTGGTTGTGGTTTGGAATCGAGCGAAGTGTGGTTTTTGGCCGATGCTAGTGGCCATTGAGTATAGGAGAGGGTTCTAATCAAAACCTTGGAACCTTTTGTGGTTTTAGGATGGAAATGTGGAATCTTGTGCTATGTTTGCCACCACCCAAAAAGCCTTTTCCCCATGTCCTAGACCCTAGCCAGTCATTTGAACCTGTGTCCAAGACCTCCGGATAAGCTAGCAACGACACTCATCTTGTGAGCTCTCACATTTAGAGGCTATCGTCATGGTAAAGAGACGTTAGGATTGAGCGTGAATATGCACATATTTTGCATCAAATGGTCCTGACCCCACTAATCGAGAGTGAGTGATTCTTCATAATGTTTAGTTCATTTCTTTTACCCCGGTGAGGACCTAGGTTGCTCGATCGTTCGTTCCTATGATGTGATCTTCATACATGAGTAACTGTGATTGGTGAGTCGTCGAGGCATGTTATGTGTTGGTTGATGAATAATGTGAGAACTCCTCTTTTGCACAATCTTAATACAGTTGAATGTCGTTTGTGGTGGTTGTCAAGATTACTTTGTTTTTGTCCAAAGGTCGGAGTCAAATAACCATTGTGATTCATTCGTTTTGTACCCTATGACATGCCTCAAAATTTTGTGTTGGAAAACAAGTTGTAAGCTTACCTTGTTTTGTACTTGGTTTGCTTGGGGACAAGCAAACGTCTAAGTGTGGGGGCGTGATTCGGGCTCAAATGTACACATTTTACCCCTCATTTCTTATTCGTTTAGATTATTATTTCATCATTCCTCGACATATTTCATGCTAGGTTGTGCTTGTTTTGATACATTTCAGGTCCTACGATGTGTGGAGGATGAGTTTTGGGATATTAGGAGGTCAAAAAGCGCGAAAATCAAAGAAAAGTCCAAAGCGACCGTGACAATTGCCTCGTAACAGTGAAGTGAAGGCGTCTCAGGAAACAGCAGGTGTTCACGGCTGGACGAGGCAGTTCACGATCTCCTAAGATCGTGAACTTCGACCACAAACCGTGAACACTGAGGCGTCCAGCGAGGTTCAAGAAGTTACTGACGACAAGGCAGTTCACGGTCTCTAAGACCGTGAACTGGGGCCATTGACTGTGAACCCAAGACAGTGAAGCGGTGCGTTTTGGACGATGTACGGAAGCGTTTAGGTGTTCACGGCCGTGAACTGGCCAACGAGTCCATGAACTGATCACTTTCGGGCAAATATGAAGACAATAGCAGGGAGAGAGAAAAGAGAGTTGGTTTTTGGAGAAGAAACACTTTCTTTCTCTAGGGTTTCAACCTAAACACCAAAGGGGAGTTCTAGTGAGAGAGAGAGTGCTAGTGTTATCTTGGAGCATCATTGGAGGCTTGGGTGGATGATTCAAGCCTAGAAGAAGAAGAAGATCTTGAGCTCAAATTTGTAATCTCTCTCTCTCTCTCTAGAAAATCACTCTTTTCTCTTGGGTGGTGTAGATCCCTAACTAATACTTTTTAATTGCTTGTTAAGAATTGAATAATCAAGTGTGTGTTTGCATCAATTTGAGTATTAGAGGTGTTTTTATGATGATTGTGCATGCTCGTGCTTAGCAATCTAAGGGTTGTGCATGTTTTGTGCTTATCATCCTTAGGTTTGTGCATTTTGGTGCTTAGCAACCTAAGGATTGTGCATAATTGTGCTTAGCACCCTTAGGTCTGTGCATGTTGGTGCTAGCGATCTAATTAGCCACCTTAACTTAGCTTAGAGAGGAAAATCCCCCTTCCAAGGGAGACTCAATTGAGTTGGTTTTCCTTCAGCTTTTTAAGCCAGCCACCTAAACAGGTTACTTTAGGGCAACCCCCAATGTTGAATTAAGCAAATCAGTTTATCGTGATTAAGTCGTCCGACCTTTGAGTTGAGTGAGGGAGAAATTCAACTACCGATTGCCTAAATCGAGAGGGTCGAGTGACACGGCCTTTAATGTTTACCTCGATTTAGCAATCGAGATTGTTGTCTACGACCATATTTTCATCCCTCTGCGGTTTGCGGTTACCAGTTTGCATCTAGGTTGGTTGTGATTAAGCCGTTCAAACTACGGTTTGAGGGAGAGACCTAGGAAACCACTAGTGACTGAGTGAGAGGATCGATCCTGTGACAAATCGAACTCTAGTGAATCCATCCTGTGACAAATGGATCACTAGTTGCTCCTCCTAGTGGTTCCCCTAGATTTGGTGAGTGGATCGATCCCGTGACAAATCGATCGCTAGTAATTTGATTCCGTGACATATCGATCACTAGTTGCTCACCCCCGCGGCTCACAACCACATACACCACACGACTCCATTCAATCCAACGAGTCATGGTAGCTAGTTAGGGGGAAGAAAATCCCGGGTGAAGCTCCCTTAGTTAGAGTTTTCCTTTATTTACTTTTCCTTGCTTGTTTAGTTAGTAGTTTTCTTAGTTTGAAAACCCAAAACTGTTTTGCTAGATAACAACTTGAGCGATTGAAGTAGGGGTATATGGACCGGCCCGGGTTGACAATTTAAATACTTGCTCTATACTCCACCCGGCTAGAGTTTAAAAACATGGGCTCTAGTCGGGATTAATTTATGGTGTAGTTTCTCGCGAGTCAGTTATGGTTTTTGGTTTCAAAAGTATCAGATTGTTTCGTTTTGGTATAAGAGCTGGTACTCCTCTGTTGCTTGGTCTCCAAGGAATACTACAGTGACGATATGAGTTTTCAAGATTCCTGGTTTTAAAGGATAGGAAAAAGGGGTGTCAAGTTTAGGGGTGAGCAACGCTACAGGATTGGCTATTCGTCCCGTTTGAAAAGGGTACCCAATCCCATTTGAAGAGCAAACTCCATCCAATGTCCCAAATCCGTACGGGTTAACGAGTACTCATTACCCATACGAGACGGATAACGGGTACCCGCGGCCGTGGGTACCCATAGCCTGCGGCTTTCTCCTTTCCTGTGTTGGAGAAATGAATAGAAAATGAGGAACAATAGAAATAATCGAACAAAATTTGCCCAACATAAAGAAATTAAAAAATATATATACAAGTTGCAATGGAACAAAGCTATCAATTCTTTTTCTCAATACCCAGTAGTCCGTACATCGTTGTATTGGACAGAGTGGGAGGGTATAATTTCCATGGCTGGCATTTGTAAATTTTAATTGGCTGAGTTTTACTATGAGGATCTTGTTTATGTAGAATCCATGCTATGCGAGTAGAAAATTAGTTATGGGGCTGGACTATGGGTTGGTATCACGGGTAGTACGGGTACCCATAATACCCAAACAGGTAACCCGCGGGTACCCATTGTAAAATTTCTTGTTCCCAAGTCCCATCCCGTACAAAAAATTATGGGTATTTGGGTACCTGTAACCCTAAAAAAATGGGACGGGTATGGATATACCCAAATACCTGTTTCCCGTTGCCCACCCCTAGTCAAGTTTAAGGTTTGGTCAAACGAGTCAGGGTTCTTTTGAGGATTTTTAGAATCTCCAGTATACTCTAATCATGATTAGAAAAATAAATTTAGGAGGCCCCTACGGGGATATGATACGTCTCGGGAAGGAGAAGGAACAGGTTCCTAGAGGGACCGTTTAGTGAAAAACATGTTCATGAGTGAGAAGAAGGGATTCAAGGCAGCTCATATCCTACGAGGATGCAAGCAAATCTGAATGAGGATTAGGAAGAAGCCAAGAATTAGTACGTCAACAGGTAGTAGCCAAGAAGTTGAAGCAAATGGCAACCATAATCTAGCGGAAAGGATGCAAGGAAGGTTCGTTGAGTTCGCGAAGGTCGAGCGTAGGGCTATGACCCAAAGAGTAGAGGAGGCTAGACTATAAGAAACGCTAAGGGTACTTCAGCAAAGAAATGAGGGATCCAAACATCGATACAAATGATGCAAAGTATGAGGCTTGGTGAAGTCGTAAGGGACAAATTCCGAGGTCGAATTTTTTTTAAAAGAGGGGAGGAAATGTGATACCTTGACTTTGATTTAAGGTCCAGCAACAAGTACTGAATGAGTTGGACCATAAATTGATTCATAACTTTTGTCCCATTACACTCTAGACTGGGCGAGCAAATTAAAAAAGGAAAGTAGCCACTCAAAGCTACACGATGCTAACGAGATAGATGAGAATACCTTTTATGATCAAGAGGAAATATAAGAAGGGAGGTAAATTATATGAGACAAGCAACAAACATCATCAAAGTTCATATAGCGTAAGTATATTCTCGAACCAAAGAAGTACGAGAATGAGGAGTACGGAAGAATGAGTTCGAGCAAATTTCGGGGACGAAATTTTATACGACTGGAGGAAATGTTACACCCCGCTCTTCCTAAAAGTCTAAATGACTATAATTTTTTCAAATTACATCGTAATATTTAAGAGGACAAAAAAATGAGGACTAACGATTCGGGCACCGTTGAATTCCGATTTAAATCGAGGAAGTTAGGAACGTGAGTTGGGTTTTGAATCAAAAACCAATCAAGGACCTAAGATGAGTGGGCTCTGCTAATTGGGCTGACCTTGACTCACGATGGGCAGGCAGATTGGGTGTAATTAAAAGGAGGCTGGGTGGAGTGGGCCGAGGTTCGAATTGCTAGAGCTTTGTAGGCGGTCTTTTGGGCCTGGGTGGAAGAAAAGGCTCGTTCACTGGAAATGAATCCTCCTCTACTGTCGGGGGAGAAAGAAAACAGAGTCGAAGCCGCAGCGGAACTCGGGGCGGGTAGATGGATGATTGTCGGGACGGTTATCCTCAATTGCAAGGCGAAACCGAAAGAAGTTTTAAGGGGAGGGTTTAATTGGTTATAATTGAGGAGTAAATGAAAAGGAAAATGTAAATCGACCAAGGAAAAGAAAGGGCACCTGAAAATATCCCTCTGTGGCACGAGATCTACTTCCCTTCCATATATAGGAGACTTGTATGCTTCTCTCCCATACACGAGAGCAGCTTGTTCTTGGCAAGCTAGTATGAGACAAATGGGTGTTGGGAAGTCCCTGTAGTAGAGCTGAGGTAGCAGCTTCCCGTCTATATGCGAGAGGTGCTAGCTTAAGCAACCACGAAACGGGGGCGGCAAGGGAGGGGGGAGAACCAGTCATGAAGAAGTTTACGCCAGGGAGAAGGAGAGGTGGATTAGGGAATTCAACGACTGTTGGTGAGCTAGAAAGGACACGGCCTCATCCTCCACGATGACCTGGGGTGTCTACAATTCGACATTGGTCGCTGATGTCTGGCCCGAGAAGAGGTGATGGATTTTGCGGCGGCGACAATGGGTCTCTCGCAAAATCGATCCCCGGGGTGATGTTGTCCGAGGAGGAGGAGGAGGAGGAGGAGGAGGAGGAGGAACGGACCGCCAATGAGCTTGATAGAGGGAAGGACGCCGGCGGCCGGAGTCGGAAGGTTTTGGGAGTCGACGACGGCGAGATGGAGTTAAGACCTTCTTCCCATTTAATTGGAGTCCAAATGACATGGTTTTCTAAATTGGATAAATAATTAGGGGCGAATGGGTCTCTTGAGTACTAGGGAAGTTTGGTAAGTTTTGGAAATTTTGGGCGTCGATCGGTAATTTACCATGACAGTGATTAATTCATTATTGGTAAAGGTTTGAGTACTTAATTGAAATAGGCCAAATAGGACTCAAATGGCGGAATCAGAAAGTGGGAAGTGGCCCTTTAGACTAATTTGTGCAATTTTGTAAATTTGGGGCCGAATTGATAAGACTCAGAAATTTCGAGTTCCATTTTGTAATTTACCAGTTTGGGGGCAAAAGGGTAATTTTCTGGAATTTCATGGGGAACCCTAGTGAGGTTAAATGGAGAAATTTGGAATTGCAATTAACCGAATTGGAGGTCGTTTGGCTAGTAATGCTAGTAGAAATAAGTATTAAGTTTTGCCTAAATACTTAATAGGAGAAATTGCAAGAGGTAAAGCACGAGGAGTTTGAGTGTGGAATCCCAGATGATGACGTGAGTCAACCGGCAATAAAGAAGGGTCGACTTTTCGAGGTGAGTGTAAAGGGGGTAAAATCTCCGTCGAGGTATTTTAGTTTATGTCGTTAAATTCAAGTTGTGCTAGTTAATTTATGAGTTTGCGCGATTATGTTAAATTCAAGTTGTGCTAGTTAATTTATGAGTTTGCGCGATTATGTGTGTGAGTCATCCCACCGCCTACTTAAGGTGGAGGCGCGTGTTGTGCTATGTATGTGTATGAATGTATGTGGTTGATGGTAAGATGAACCCCCGGGCGGTTGGGCCACTACTAGACGTAGTAGATGGTCGGGTCACTACTGGACGGCGATACGTAATGTAGTAGTTGATCGTGCATGGACTGGACGATGAGACATAACTCAGTGCCATTGCCAAGTTTGTGTCTGCAACCGGACGGCGAGACGTAACGCGGTTGGCATACTAGAGTAGGGACACCGGACGGCGAGACGTAACGCGGTGGTCCTAGTGTCTTGTATTTGAGTTAAGGGTAGAAGTCGAGAATTTCTATGAGTTATGTCGGAATATAGTATTAAGGATAGAAGTTGAGGACTTCTATAAGATAAAGATAGGAGTAAAGACCTTCTATTAGTTGTGTTGAAATAAAGTTATTATCACTCTCAGAAGCTCTTTGGAGGTTGTGTGTTAGATTCTTTTTGGAGCTCTTTGACTCCTCAAATTGTAAAGGCTCTCATATGTAACGAGGATTTGCTAGCAAGTGCAACACTACCTCTTGAGGATGAGGAGTTGGAAGATCTTGGCAACGATATGTATTGTTGTTAGTTATGTGTTGTGTATTGTATTGTTGTTTAATACTATACGTTTTAACCCGTTATTTGTTTTCATGTTTGTTTTAGTTTTCAAAACTGTGGTATGAGATGTGAATATGTAATGCTACTACCGGAGTTGGAAGTGTTGTTGTCGGAGTTGGAACTGGGGTTAGAGCTTCTTCTTCTATTGCACCTAGTGGTTGAGAAGATCCTAGTGATACCGAGGATGAAAGTCAGAGCACTTCTGAGGACGAGGATAGTGAAGAGGTAGACTGATTGAGCAATTGAAGACATGGATAGTGGACTATGGTTTGAAGCAGTTTTGAAGTTGAAGTGTTTAAGTTCTATTAGTACGAGACAAAATGACTTGTGGATTTGTGATATTGTGGTTGTTTTGAATTTAATTTTGGATGGTTTCTTTTGGGATTGTAATATGAACGTTCTATTTCAGAATTTTCTAGGTACACTTTTCTTGTTTTCTGGATCATTTTACAAGTGCATGTTGCTTTTTTGTGCTTTTTTTGGTCATTGTGCAGTTAATTGCATCATGTAAAGCAAAATCGTGTATTGCGATTAGTATTGCAATTAACCGCTAACTGTTTGCCATGCGATCACTGTTGGTAATTTTTTTCTTATGCGATTGCGATTAACCGTGTTATTCGGTGCGGTTAATCATAGCAGTACCATAAGCACGCTTCAGGCCTGACCCGTCAGTTTCCATGTCATGTCATATCGATCCATTTTAAAAGTTGCTAGGCACAGTCGAGGCACGCGCACGGTTTATAGTTGGGTTGGGGACCCATATCTAATCTAAACAAGTAATATATGGAGGTTCTCCTCCGGTAGCCACCCCATTCTCTTTTTTCTTATTCATGCGCATAGTACGAAAGGCCATTTTGGTCTTTTTAGTTTTAATTCAAGTCGGTACGTTTCATGATAATAGTTGTTTAGATACGTTACCTCGGTATAAATTATATAATAATTATTATGTATTGATATAATTGAATTATGGAATTGATATATGGATTTTGTCCTTCCGTTTCACGATAATGGGCTATGAAATAGAATTAAACCAACACATGGTTAGAAATAGTTGGTTACATATTATTTTCATAAACAGTAATTATTAATTATTAATCAAACATTTCTCGTATTCTAAAATATTAGTCAAACTTATTGAAATATAAATAATTAGTCAATCATTAACTTCCCGTTAACAGTTTCGTTAGCAGTGCTGACTAAGTACCACGATGTTGAGTTGACTTCTCACATAGCGGTCAACATATCATCATTTTTCGATATTTAATTATTTAAAAATAAAGGTAACTACAATTTATTTGCCAAACCTTTCAAACTTTTCAAATTGTTAGGCAAACCTCTCAAACTTTTAATTATTAGCCAAACGTTTTGAAATATAAAATATTAGCCAAATCTTTTGTAACACATCAAAATATTAGCTATTATCCTATTACCGTTAATGATTTTTAACTCTTTTTTAGTTAAAATACTAAAATTTTGGAATGTTGACCGCCACATATCTCTTCCAAGTGAGTATCATATTATCAAGTCAATATTACTAACAAAACTGCTAACGAGAAGTTAACATTTGGATAATATTTTGTATTTGTATTTTGAAATGTTTGGCTAATAATTTGAAAATTTTGAACGCATAATAATAAAAGATAAAATTTTATTGATTATTAACGTGAACAGTGAGGTGGAGCACTGTTCAGAAATAATTAACGGTAACAGACCAAAAGCTAATATTTTGACGCATTACAAAACTTTTGGCTAATTATTTGTATTTTGATAGGTTTGGCTAATATTTTAGAATGCGGGAAATGTTTGGCTAATAATTAGTAGTTACCCTATTATTCTATACTATAGATGGTAATTCATTCGACTGATGGACGAGTCTACAATTTCCTTCGTTTCTTTTAACCTTTTGACATACCAAAACTTGAACAACTCCACATTTAGAGATTGCAATGAACTCCAAAACTGGTTAGTTTGTTTCTCCATAGATCCAATATCATATTCTTTTGCGTGATTCAACTATTCAACAAATTACAGAATAGTAAAGACATTCGATCTACAAGGGATAGGTTGAATGACACCATTGTTTAGCGAGTTGAAATTAAGTTGCTTGCTAAAAAAGAATGATGGTAGAGAATATAATTTTCCGTCTTCAAATGAGGTTGTTGCTTTAATTGTTGATGATACTAGGGGAAAACATTTTCTCTTGATATTGTTCTCCACTATCAAAGTCGTGAACTAAAACAAATTAGTATATATAATCTAAGTTTAATGGTGTTGCAATATCTCATATTATTCTCACACGGTGAGGATGGTTGGCACTCAAATTTTCCATATTCTAGCAATGAGGATGCATATGGACTCAACAAGAAGAATGTCACTCAATGTGGTTTTTACAGTTATAGACTTCAAACAAGACTGAAAATAATAATCAAACTCATTGCTATTGTGTGGAAAGTTGTAACAATAGTACTACCAATATTCTTACTTGAGATGTGATCCAGATGCCAATACGAGCGGAAATAATGTATTTTAACTTCATCATATACAGGTAGTCTTATATATAAGTGTGCAAATTTTGGGAGTGAGAAGTAAATTGAAGTGTGATTTGCTAATATTTTTTAAGAGTTGGTTCTCTTGAATGAGTTTGATTTCTTTTACTTTCAATTACGAATTTTGATTTATTCATTAATTAAATAATTTGGATTCTTCTATATTATCAAATAAAAATATATCGTCCCACGTAAAATAGCTATTTTTATTTATTCAAAATACATTCGACCAACGGACGGACCCAAATCTAGTGTTAAGCATCCAGAAGAACAAAGGGCGTTCTGGCAAGGGAAACATCAAGGATTGTAGTTGGGCTTGGGAAAGGCTAAGGCGTTTCTTGTCGTTTTTGAACTTCGATTTGAACCCATGGAATTCTCTGATAGACTGAGAAAGGAGCAGCAGGGGTTGCTTAGCAATAAAGAGTAGCAGCAGAGTGTACTCCAAGAATGACGAGCACGCGGAGGAGAACATCAAGGGTGTTATTATCTGGTCTACTGCAAGAACAATTGGATCGCTCTTGTATCTCTCTCTCTACAATTGGATCGCTCTTGTATCTCTCTCTCTCTCTCTCTCTCTCTCTCTCTCTCTCTCTCTCTCCCATTTCACTTCTTAATATCTCTGTGTGATTATCGAAAGGGGATTTTGATTTTTGGTTTGTTGTCTCCATTCAGTCCATTGAGAAAATATACCCTGGAATCAGGTTATCGTCTACTGATGAACTTCGACCTTGTTACCATCCTGGATACTTTCTTTATTGGAGCATTTTTACGTACTTTCGTCACCCCGGCTCACCAACACGGCTTACCGCTTAAGCCTTTCACCAAACTTAAAAATCCATGCATACTGCTCTTAGTATCACTTCAGTTTATAAATAGACAGATGCAATGCACTATCAGCAGACGATGCTTGCAGGATGGAGTTCTATGGGAGAGACGAAACCTCCTCACAAGCAACTAGCAAAAAAGAAATTCCCAAACAACATATTACTCTTGAAAGCGACATCATAGGGTAGAAAATAGCCGTTTAATGCTTGATAACAAGCAAAATCGCTACATGTCTAACACGAAACTTCATAGTTTTTTTTTTTTTTTTTTGGTAAAAACTTCATAGTTCTTCCAAAACGCCCAAACAGTGATAGTGTTCACCCCCTACCTAGCCACAACTATCGATAATTAAGACTTCTCAGAAGAATTGGGTCCTCTCTTCTTGCCAAATCCGACAACTGCAACCAAAACAGCAAAAGGAACAGCATAATCAGAACCCAATTACCAAGCAAAGCAATCCTACATGACTAGGAAGCAAAGCAATTCAACATGACGCGATTTCAAACATGGGCATCGATGTCGAATTAATGAATATTGCAATACTCATTCGGCAACAAATAATTGTCCTCAGATGCAAGCACAAGATGGGTCTTTGAAATTGTAATGATATGGGATCGACTTTTCGGAGAGTGATTTCCTTTTCCTATCCAGCCACAATTCACTAAATAAAACCATCAAGCAGCAAGCAGATACAAGAACTAGCTTCTTTTCATTACCCTGTGTTGTTTCCAAAACCCTAATTGAGAAAGGAAAACAACCCAACAAGTGCATTTCCTTCAAACTGACGATAATCTAAACAAGCCAGATAGAACAAAGAACAGCTCCCACACCAAAAACACAGATGCAACACAAATTCATTCATACCAATAGGAAATCCACAGGGAAAAAATGGACAATTCATACATAACCAGAGCACCTATATCCAGAGAGAAGAGAAGAGGGGGAAAAGCATACCAGCAGTGACGAATCTGCGGGTGTATTGCATTCTCTTATGGGCACGACCGCGTGGCTTCTTCTTCTTCTCCTGCTTCGCTACCTTGGGAGTCTGCCCCCTCACCTTGCCGGCACGAGCCAACGAGCCGTGAACCTTACCTGCAAATCAAAGAACAAATTCCACCCACCGGAAAATCAGTTCACCGCCGATTTGGTTCATTCAGGGAAGCAGAATATACTCGGAAGCTCTTCTTACCCATGGTTGTGAATTGTGATGTATCTTCTTCTGCGCGCCGCTTAGTCGCCGAAATGCAGTGATTGCCCTGGATGCGCCTGAAGGAGATTATTAGGGCTAGGGTTTTTTAGTTCATATATTATTGGGCGAAAATGAGGATTGCTGGGAACGTGTGGGCTGGGTGAGTGAAATTGTGGGCTCGTTTCAGGCCATATTGAGGTGGTATCGAG